CTTCTTATTGTGTCACATGACATATGATTTAGCCCTTTTTTTCTTCGATACGGCGTCAATCCACCTCACTATGATATTGTCTGCAAATATTCATACAATCAGTGTATCTACTGTCCGTCGTTATCTGCATAGAATTACGTTTCGGGAAATCATCGACTTTTTTCACCTCAATAAGTAGCGGTTGACCCCCTTACTTACAAATACCTTAAACTTTTCATATACTTAATAATAGCAGAGCACGACATTTTTGGTCTTTCAGGATGTGTACAAAAAACAAATCATCAAAACGCGATGCGTATGCACGCATAACGAGATGTATGTCTTTTTGTCACGAAGGTCGAACAACAATTGAAGCTTTCTATTCCAAGCATTTTCATGAAATTGTCCCTCTACCAACTCTTTGAAATTTCGCGTCTAGCAGTTTCCATGTAAAAGTCCTACCGGACACACCTTTATCAAACAGACTGTATATATATACGCATAATTATAAGAGATATAAGGGTTATTCAAATATAAACCGTATTTTTTACCTGCGGACTCAGAACATAGACATAGGAATATAGGGACAGAGCATAGAGTTGCGGAGTGATAACCATTGCGGGACGAGGTAAACTGTGCTTAAATCTAATTGGTGGTTGTGCCGTGTGTAAGTATTTGATACATACATAGATGTGTATGAAGTTGTGTGTGAGTGAAATTATGAAAAAAAGACACATGCATAACTTCTGCAAAATACTGTCAGTGTAAATAGTTGTTATCATTTTGTTACATTTACTATTTGCCAGTGACAGTCAAGTCGTTGCATCACATGCTCTGAATATGCGCACTATTGTAGCCAATGAAACTTAGACACAGTCGCCCCCCGCATTTCAGCATAACCCCCTCGCCTATCTTACGGGCTTATGCTCTGTCTCTATATTCCTATGTCTATGACTCAGAAAGAGCCGCAAGAGGACTGAGGCCGGCGTGAAGTTGGCACCTCATTTTTTAGTACCGCAAGTTTTAACGATAGTTCTATTGGTACCCACAATAGTTTCACAGTTCCTGACATGTTATACCAATAGTTCTGCCGAATTAGTTAACAAAATAGCAGATTGAAAATATCAGGTGCTAACTTCCCGTAGCACCATAATTTCCAAAAAAAGCCATTTTAGCATAAAATCTTATAGCTCTAGAATAGTTCTATAGTTCCTGATATGTTTTAGCAAAAGTTCTGGCTTCTAACAAATTTTAAATAATTTCTGAAACTTAGCGCCAGCACCGCAAGAATAAAGTATCAGTTTGCCTGGCAGTTCCAACCGACTTCTGGGTTTCTTTTAGTAGTTCTACAATAGTTCCAACGCTTTAGGTGGGTCTCGTCGCGAGCGCCGGCCTTTAACTATTTTTAAATAATTTTTGAAACTAAACGCCAGCACCGCACCACAAGAGTAAAGTATCAGTTTGCTGGCAGTTCCAGCCGACTTATGGGTTCCTTTTAGTAGTTCTACGAGGGTGGTCCGATAAGTACTTAGCCTACAAAAGAAAAACGAAAATTTTGGAAAAGTGGCGATTTATTTCTCAACATAGTCTCCTTTTAGCTCAATACACTTGACCCAGCGATGCTCCAACTTCTTTAACCCGTCTGAAAAATACGTTTTCTCGAGGTCTGCAAAGTAGGCCTCCGTGGCGGCGATGACCTCCTCATTCGACTCAAATTTCTGCCCGGCGAGTGACTTTTTCAAGTTTGGAAACAAAAAGAAGTCGCACGGGGCCAAATCTGGAGAATACGGTGAATGGGGCAGCAGTTCGTAGCCCAATTCGACCAATTTGACCGTGGCGAGGGCGGAGGTGTGAGCCGGTGCGTTGTCATGGTGGAAGAGCACTTTTTTCTTCGCCAAATGGGGCCGTTTTTTCTGCAATTCGGCGTCGAATCGGCCCAATAATTCGGCATAGTACAGCCCTGTGACCGTTTTGCCCTTCTCCAGGTAGTCGATGTAAATCACACTTTGTGAATCCCAGAAAACGGTGGCCATCACCTTTCCGGCCGATAGGACAGTCTTCGCCTTCTTCGGAGCACGTTCGCCGGGTGAAGTCCACTGTTTCGACTGTTCCTTGGTCTCTGGTGTGTACCAGTGGATCCATGTTTCGTCGACGGTCACGAAACGACGCAGAAACTCCTTCGGATTGCGCTTAAACAGCGTCAAACACTGCTCTGAAGTGGTCTCACGGTTGCGCTTGTTGTCCGGAGTGAGCAAACGCGGCACCCATCGCGCCGACAGCTTTCTCATGCCCAAAATTTCATGCAGGATATGACCCACGCGGTCTTTTGAGATGCCTACTGTCTCAGCTATCTCGCGCACCTTCAATCGGCGGTCTGCCAATACGAGATCGTGGATTTTTGTCATGTTATCCTCCGTGGTAGCCGTTTTCGGGGCACCTGGGCGTGGCTCATCAAAAACCGACGTGCGACCACGTTGAAACTCGTTAAACCAATTTTTGACGGTCGCCATCGAAGGAGAAGAGTCACCGTACACAGCATCCAAGTGCTCTTTGATTTCGCTGCGCGATTTCCCTTCCAAAAACAAGAATCGAATCACCGACCGATATTGCTCTTTTTCCATTTTTCTAAAATCCGCGGACACGCCCGCTTTCACACGCGGTCAAAACAAAACTACGAGTCCGATTCGGCTGAAATTTCGACAGTAGCCGTCTACGAGAATGTACTACACGATAGTAAATTTCTCTTGCGATAGTAGAGCCATCGGGCGGTGAGGCTAAGTACTTATCGGACCGCCCTCGTATAATAGTTCCAGCGTATTAAGTAGGTATCGTCGCGGGTGCTGGCCTTTAACTATTTTTATATAATTTTTTAATCTTAGGGCCAGCACCGCACCACAAGAGTAAAGTATGAGTTTGCAAGTAGTACTAGTCGAGCTCTTGGTTTTTTTAGTAGTTTTACAATAGTTCCAACGCCTTAGGTGGATTTCGTCGCGGGTGCCAGCATTTAACTATTTTTAAATAATTTTTGGAACTGAGCGCCAGCACCGCACCACAAGAGTAAAGTATCAGTTTGCTGGTAGTTCCAGCCGATATCTGGGCTTCTTTTAGTAGTTTAGTCTGTCAGCAAATTGATACTTTAGTCTTGTGGTGCGGTACTGGCGCTAAGTTTCAAAAATTATTTAAAAATAGGTAAACGCTAATACCTCCGACGAAACCTACTTAAAGCGTTGGAACTACTGTAGAACTACTAAAAGTAACCAAGAAGTCGACTGGTACTGCCAGCAAATTGATATTTTACTCTTGTGATGCAGTGCTGGCCCTAAGTTTCAAAAATTATTTAAAAATAGTTAAAGACCGGCATCCGCGACGAAACCTACCTAGAGCGTTGGAACTATTGTAGAACTACTAAAAGAAACATGGAAGTTTGCTGGAACTGCCAGCAAACTTATACTTTACTTTTGTGGTGCGGTGCTGGCGTTTAGTTTCAAAAATTATTTAAAAATAGTTAAAGGCCGGCACCCCCGACGGGACCCACCTACAATGTTAGAATTATTGTAGAACTACTAAGAGAAACCCAGAAGTCGGCTGGAACTGCCAGCAAATTGATACTTTACTCTTGTGGTGCAGTGCCGGCGCTATGTTTAAAAAATTATTTAAAATTAGTTAGAAGCCAGAACTTTTGCTAAAACATATCAAGAATTATAGAACTATTCTAGAACTATAAGATTTCGTGCTTGAAATGGCTTTTTTGGAAGTTGCGATGCTACGGGAAGTTAGCACCTCATATTTTCAATCTGTTATTTTGTTAACTAATTCGGCGGAACTATTGTTATAACTTATCAGGGACTGTAGAACTATTATGGGTACCAATAGAACTATCGTTAAAACTTGCGGTGTTAAAAAATGAGGTGCCGGAAAAAATGAGGAGGAACTTCTCCGGTAGGACCGAGGCGTTCCAGGCAGTTAGGCAGAGATGTGTAGAGGGGAGCGACTCCTTGCAACATTCCTCAGTTGCTGTTCCCTTACAAGGAGATGACGCAACCTGTTTCATCGATTTCAACACGAGTCATAGCACACTCGATAGCTATGATGCCGTGTATACCGTGTATGGTAAACGCCCTAACATAATATGCGTGAATGCGTCTTTGTTTACGAGTAATTTACAGTTAAAGTTTGGCTCGCAGAGCCGTGCCACACATAGGGCGCAAGTTACGACATTCTTTTACGAAGCGGCGTGGCTGAGCAGACAGAGGCTCCCGCGCCGCGAACACTTTTGCGCCGACGACGGCGTTCGAGTCCCGCCGACGACTGGTTCGTTTTTTTTTTCGTATGTAAAGACATGTAATAAATATTTTTATATTGTTCTTATGTATAATTCCTTTTTTGGTTTCTACGCTATTAATCAAGGCTAATTAGGAGAGTCAGGTCTTTCAAATATGAACACAACTTTTTTATTAATTACAATAAAATGTTTTTTTCGTGTAAATCTATTTCGCATAAATATTTCGTATGGTATGGGAAAGAAATGGCCAGACAGTGATTATTTTGTGTGAGAGAAACCCGAGAGCCGTTAGAACCGTTACAAGTGGAAGGAACTCTCTTCCCTTTCCCCTTCTCGCAGAAGGATTTTCATATTTTGTGACGTGCTCGCTTCATTCTCTAGGCAGTCTTCGTAACGTGAACAGTGAAAAACTCGTTTAAATTGGAAACCACGTAGATGAAGCAACGATCAGCTATGTGCAAAATCTAGCAAAATGTGATATTACGAAAGAAGAGTTGACGGACGCAATAGAATATCTTCGAGGTAAATATATTGAATGTGTGAGCAATGGAAAGATATATTTGTACGTATTGTTATTGGCCTTGTATACAATATCAATTATATTGAATTCATATTTGCAGATGTCCTGATACAATTTAATTTAATTAATAATGAAGCGCCAAGAAAATTATCAAAAAATTCCAAATTAATTGGCGGAAAATTGTTTGAAAAATTAATTAAACTGTTGAGAAAACATAAAATGTCAAATGAGGTGGAATATTATATAGCAGAAGGAGAAGACGTGATTGAAGAAGACGCGATGGAAGATGTTCAATCGTCTTCTTCGGACGAGCCTCATACGAGTCAAAGAACGGAAGAGTCTTCTCCGGACAAGCCTCATAAGAGTCAAAGAACGGAAGACTACGAACCTCCGCAAAAAGTTGCAGCGATGGATCTAGTGCCGTATGACGTAAAATTGAAAATAGTTATGACCGCAAACGAACATCCGAATTGGAGCTTCCGTACGTTACAAAGCAAGTTTAAACAGCATTTGCATTATCACAGTGAAGTTGCACGCTTCCGCAAATATATTTTATCTGGTGGAAATTATTGGGATAAGCTGCAATTAATAAAACGGAATGTGTATGATCGGTTTACGGAAGCAAGAGAGCAAAGGCAACTTATTACACGACGTCTCCTTCAACAGTGGACGATGGCTGCAGCCGTTCAATATAACAAACAAGGAGAAGAAAGCGAAGAACATGACAAAGCTTTCCGCTTTGTAGCATCGAACACATGGTTAACGTCATTTCTACGTGAATATAAAATTTCTAACCGTCGAGTTGTTCGGTATTTATCAAAAAGAGAAATAATATCACCGCAAGCTGTGATGGAATCCGCTGTACACTTTCAAGAATTAATTAGAAGTATATCACCGGATTACGACCCGGATTTCATAATAAATTCTGACCAAACGGATTGCGAATATCGCGTAAATGTTGCACGAACGTACACGCATACTGGCGAAAAATTCGTACAATTATATCATATATCGGCGATCTAAACAAAGTGACTCACTCTTATACTGCACAATATTCTGTCACACAATCGGGCAAGCTATTAAATAAAGTGTTCGTTTGCTTACAAGAGACTTTCGACACATTTGGAGTCCGGGTACAGAAAGAGGTAGATGCGTTATTGCTATTATGTAAAAATGTTGTTCCAGTTTGCTCCAAATCAAATTAACAACGTCTCTCTACCAGCAATATTTGAAACTGGTTCTCAAGCCATACGTTGGTAATCATCAGTTTTTATTTCTTGTTGATTCTTGGGGAGGACAAAAGAATATCCATATGTATAACGAAATATTTCGCAATAATAACAATAGGCCAACGTTTAACCTACAAATAATACCACCAAAATGTACGCCAATTTGTCAACCGTGCGATGTTTATTTCTATAGACAGATCAAAATCATTATAAAGCGTATACAGAACTGTCCTTCTTTATATACCGGCGACGAAAGTATAAATTTGAACACTCGCGCTGATGCGATTCGTATACAATCGCTCACACACTATCTGTTATCAGCACCAGTTTTCAATTTTATGCTCCAATATGCGTGGTATGCGTCCAGTCTTATTGACAGTCGCGAGGTATTTTACAACGTCAATCAAATATGTTTTCCACCAACTGTACATAGTCAAAAGTGTATTTGTGCAAAAAATTATGCGTTCATTACGTGCAGTTGGTGCAAAAAACTATTATGTTTTACATGCTTTTATACGGCATTCCATCCGCAGAGTTGCGACTGCATGACCACATTTTATAATACGTAACTTTCATTTGTGTGCCTTATATTTGTCTTATGTGTGTGTGTATGTGTTTTGATATGGACAAAAACATTTTATTGTAATTAATAAAAAAGTTGTGTTCATATTTGAAAGACCTGACTCTCCTAATTAGCCTTGATTAATAGCGTAGAAACCAAAAAAGGAATTATACATAAGAACAATATAAAAATATTTATTACATGTCTTTACATACGAAAAAAAAACGAACCAGTCGTCGGCGGGACTCGAACGCCGTCGTCGGCGCAAAAGTGTTCGCGGCGCGGGAGCCTCTGTCTGCTCAGCCACGCCGCTTCGTAAAAGAATGTCGTAACTTGCGCCCTATGTGTGGCACGGCTCTGCGAGCCAAACTTTAACTGTAAATTACTCGTAAACAAAGACGCATTCACGCATATTATGTTAGGGCGTTTACCATACACGGTATACACGGCATCATAGCTATCGAGTGTGCTATGACTCGTGTTGAAATCGATGAAACAGGTTGCGTCATCTCCTTGTTAGTAGCACCATGTAGCACCATGAATGAACAAGAGGTACCTACGACTGTTGCGTAACGCATTATCATCCGACTTCTCGCTAACGAAGGCGTCAAACCAACTGAAATTTTGGCCAAACTCCAAGCATAGTTTGGAGATGGTACCCTGTCAAGAACCCAATTGTTTGATTGGGCCAAAAAATTTCGCAATGGTCGTAATGCTGTGGAAAACGAAAGTCATGAACATCGTTCGCGATCGAATGTCACTGATAAGAACATTCAGGCCGTTCGCGAACTTGTGGAAAATGACCAGCGCTTAACTGTTGTCGAAATCTTATCGGAGGTGGGCATAAGGACTGCTTATCGTAACAAACGACGCCGGCAACCCATTCGCGACGTTCTGCTTTTCCATGACAACGCGCGGCCTCATACAGTCTTAATCTTTACCCCTTGACTGTGGAGACAGAAATGTACTAGTCGTGCCATTTTTGTGTTGGAAAAAATGTCGAATTTTCTTTATGATATTTTTATAATAAGGGTTTTTGGGGTCACTGAATCCAAATTTGATATTAAAATTCCGAAATTAAAAATGGCGAATTCAATATGGTGGGTCAAAATTATAAAAATAATCGGTTATTTATGAAAGTGAGTATCTATATGTTTTTGGGGTCGCTGAATCCGAATCTGATATAAAAATTTCAAAATTCGAAATGGCGGATCGACCATGGTGTGTCAAAATTATGAAAATAATCAGATTTTAATGAAAGTCGGTATTTATATGTTTTTGGGATCGCTGAATCCAAATTTGATATCAAAATTTTAAAATTAAAAATGACGGATCTAAATTTTGAAAATCAGATTTTTCATGAAGATTATAATTTTGACTCGCCATGTTGGATCCGCCATTTTGAATTTCGAAATTTTGATATCAAATTCTGATTCAGCAACTCCAAACACATATAGATACCGACCTGTATGCAAAAAACAATAGTTTTACTATTTTTTTTCTTCGATGCGTGTATACACGTCATCCACACTGGGTGGCACGACTTTTTCATGCGGCTATATACGTTATCCACAGTCAAGGAGTTAACCCGCGATAAACTCAGAGAAATATACTGGACACCTCTTGAACACCTTCCTTACAGTCCCGATTTATCCCCATGTGACTTTCACATGTTTGAGCCCCTGAAAGAGGCTTTAGGAGGGGAAAAATTTAACGACGATGCAGAGGTTGAGCAGTACATGCGCTGTTGGAGCGCCATTTTTCTTTTTTTGATGAAAGGATCAAGAAGCTACCTACAAAAGTTATGAAGAAAATGCATTCCGTTGAAGAGAATTATATAGAAAAATAATACATCGCTTTTGTTATTTCATTTGTTACCAATAAATCTGTAAAATTAATCCGGTTTATATTTCAAAGGTACCTAGTACTTGAAATCATGTTGCTATTTTTTACTGATTATTTATTAGTTATTTTTTTCTGTTTCAAGATCCACGTACCAAAGATTTCTTTCTGATTGACACACTATGGCGGGTCCCACTTTTAGCTATATTCTACGTATATAGTATATACGTTCTTCTGCCGAAGTTTATGGAAAAAAGGGAGCCCTACAAGTTGACCAGAATATTACAGATATATAATGTCTTACAAATTATATTTAACATGTACTTATTTTATATGGTAAGTTGTAAATTTAAGTACTCTTAAACTTTCGATTTCTCACTAAAGTAAAGATGAAAAAAGGATATTCTGTCACTTAATCATCAAATTATTCGATGTTACAGAAAATACCAAAAGCTAATATATAAAAAGTCATAACTTCGACCATGTTGTTAATTTCGTAAACTTTTTGATGCGCTTAAAGAAAAGAATGCTTCTAAATGTAATATTAGGTGCGCAACTAAGTTCCCGCTGTTTTTCAAGAGATGGCTCCAGTAGTAAGTGCTAGATGCTCGATTGTGACATAACCAAAACGTCATGAACCAAGCTTAGACATATGGTAAACAAACCGCTTTGACACATTAGTGATTTTGTTTTTGCGTCATATACTTTTGGTTGTGTGAAAATTTCTGATTTTGTGCCAAATAATCGTCATTTGCGGGAAGTGTTGCTTTTCTTCTTTCATTCGAAGAAAACGGCGGCTGAAGCGCATCGAGAACTCCAAAAAGTTTACGGAGATGCTGCTCTAAGTGAAACAACGTGCCGTGATTGGTTCCGTCGCTTCAAAGACGGTGATTTCGATGTTGACGACCGTTCGCGTGGAGGAAGACCAAAAACCTTCGAAGACGCTGAATTGGAGGCATTGCTCGATGAGGATCCGTGCCAAACTCAAAAAGAGCTTGCTTCAGCATTAGGAGTTACCCGCCAAGCCATTTCCAAGCGATTGCATGCGTTGGGAATGATTAAAAAACAAGGAACTTGGGTTCCTTATGATTTGAAGCCAAGAGACGTTGAGCGTCGTTTTTCGCCTGTGAACAACTGCTCCAGCGGCAAAAAAGGAAGGGTTTTCTTCATCGCATCGTTACGGGTGATGAAAAATGGATTCATTACAGCAACCCAAAGAGAACAAAATCATGGAGACTGCCCGGTCATGCTTCTACGTCGTCGGCTCGGCCGAATATTCACGCTGCGAAGGTTTTGCTGTGTATTTGGTGGGACCAGGGCGGTGTTATTTATTATGAGCTGTTGAAACCGAACGAAACCATCACTGGGGAACGGTATCGAACTCAATTGATGCGATTGAGCCGAGCACTGCGCGAAAAGCGGCCATAATACGAGCAAAGGCACGAAAAAGTGATTCTACAGCATGACAACGCTCGGCCTCACGTTGCCAAACCCGTTAAAACCTACTTAGAAACGCTCAAATGGGAAGTCCTACCCCACCCGCCATATTCCCCAGATATTGCGCCGTCCGATTATTATTTGTTCCGTTCGATGGCACATGGTCTGGCTAATCAGCAGTTCCGCTCATATGAAGACATCTCAAAATGGCTTGATTCGTGGATAGCCTCAAAAGACGAACACTTCTACCGTGACGGTATTCGAGCTCTGCCAGAAAGATGGGAAAAAGTTGTCGCTAGCGATGGGCAATATTTTGAATGATTCATTTGTAACCATTTTTTCACAATAAAGTTGCATTTTCATCAAAAAAACAGCGAGAACTTAGTTGCGCACCTAATATTTAACATTGTACCTGAATTATTCTAAGTTGATCACTGTATTATGTGAATGAAGAGAGCAAAATATTGCTGTTTTATAAAGGTTTAAAAAGATTTACACACGTTTTATATTTACACAGGCATTAGCTTTGGGTTGGTTAAGGGAATACAGCTTTAATTGTGAACCCGTCGATTTCTCATACGCACCAAGAGCACTACAGGTAATTGTAAGAAATTAATTTATTAATTTCACATATACAGGAACTAACAGTATGTGTTACTGGTACACTCCGTTTCTCAACTTGCCTTTCTTTTTTTCTCTTCTGCTCTTCCATCATTGATGTTAATTCTGCGGAATTTTCACGTGTGTTTTGTAAATAAGACGATATTTAATATATTATAAAGTTATGTCATAACTACGGGACATTACCACTCTTTTGCAATTCAATGTAAAAAAAAGGAGGAAGATCAATGAATAACAAAACAATACATAAGTTATCCATTTACCAGATATCAAGAGTGGTGTGGTATTACTTCATGCTGAAGGTCGTAGATCTGCTGGACACATTCTTCTTTGTACTTAGAAAGAAACAAAGTCAAGTTAGTTTCCTTCATATATATCACCACTGTGGCATGGTGATATTAACTTGGGGTGCCACTAAATATTTTCCCGGTGGTCACGGTACATTTACAGGTACGTATAATTGCAGTGATAAATGTAGTCGCGAAATATTAAGATCTTTAATAAGCCGGAGAAGTAAATAGTGCTCTACGATTAACAGTTAGCTCTTCGATTAATATACTTATATTACGGTTTTTTAAAATTACGTGAAATTTTATTTCTATACATGCATCGAGTTAAGTTATAAGCAATGTCTTTGTTTTCTTTTTGGCAAATGCCTTTCTTTTTTTATAAATTTACTTTATGTATAAATTTATTTATACATAAAGTATTTCCTGATAATATCAAACCAATGGCGATACCATCAATCCTCTTATATTCTATTGGGTGAGTGCAAAAGTTCGTGCGGAGTTTCAATAGATGGAGTTATAAGCGTCGTAAAGTGTTGTCATTAATACTTCCATCTACATATTATATAACGTTGGAAAGGTGACGTCTTCAGCTGTTATTAAAAAAAAAATCATTTGTTTTCATACAAACTGCTTCGAGAAATATCACTTTAAAAATGAGTATCGATAAGGTGCATTTACGGCATGTTATGCTTTACGAGTTTCGGAAGGGAATAAACGCCGCAGCCGTAAAAAACATTCAGGATGTTTATCAGGATGAAGCACCAGCTAAACGAACTGTGGAAAAATGGTTTGCTAAATTTCGGCGCGGAGAATTTAACCTTGAAGACGAGCCACGCTCTGGTCGACCTTCTGACATTGATGACGATGTTTTGCGTACTTTAGTGCTCAATAATCCGCGAGTTTCAACAGAAGAAGTTGCTACAGCACTAAACGTTGACCGATCAACCGCTTTTCGGCGTTTAAAAAAGATGGGATTCGATTTGAAGCTCGATATATGGGTGCCCCATTTGCTGACCGAGAAGAACAAAATCAAGCGAATTTCTACAGCCGTTTCTTTACTCGGGCGGCTCAATAACGAGTCGTTTTTGGATCGACTAGTGACGGGCGATGAGAAATGGGTCCTCTACAACAATGTTCAGCGCAAACGGACATGGAAACAATCAAGTGAGCATGGTGACGCAATGCCAAAGGCCAGTTTGCACCCGATGAAGGTGATGCTCTCTGTTTGGTGGGATTGCAAGGGCATAATCTATTTCGAGCTTCTCCCCGCTGGCGAAACGATTGATTCGGACAAGTACTGTCGCCAATTAACCAATCTGAATCGAGAAATAAAAGAGAAACGTCCGATTTTGTCAAATCGCAAGGGAGTCGTCTTTCATCACGACAACGCCAGACCACACGTTTCGAAAAAGACGCTGCGCAAACTGAAGAGCCTGAAATGGGATGTCTTAACGCATCCACCGTATTCTCCTGATATCGCACCATCTGACTATCACTTGTTCCGGTCATTGCAAAATTATTTAAATGGAAAAAACTTTGACTCTTTGGAGGCCTTAAAAAACGGCGTCTCTTCGTTCTTCGAATCTAAACCGCGCAGTTTTTATGATCGAAGCATCCGTATGCTGCCAGAACGTTGGGAAAAGATTATAGAAAACGATGGAGAATATATCATTGATTGAATAAAGATTTTTGTTTGCCTAATCACTGTGTGACTTTTACTCACAAACTCCGCACGAACTTTTGCACTCACCTAATATATAAAACTTAACTTTTTAAACAAAAAGAACGCCAAGTACAACACGTATTATGTTATTTTTAAAAATATCAAACTCAAATTATTTTTTTTAAGGTATATATGTATACATAAATTTCTTCAAGTAAAACTTATAACTACTAGGTGTGCAACTAAGTTTCCGGGTTTTTTTGGTGAAAGATGGAAAATTTCAAGAGAAATATAAAAAATAGTTTACTCAAAGTATCGTCCCTCACTAGCTACACATTTTTGCCATCTCTCTGGCAATACATGAATACCGCGACGATAAAACGTCGCGTCATTGTACCAAAACGATTCATCCAACCAATTTTGCACTTCTTCGAAATTGGCCAAGTGTTGCCCAGCCAAGCCATGCGCCATCGACCGGAACAAGTGATAATCGGAAGGGGCCAGGTCTGGCGAATACGGCGGATGCGGTAGCAGACCCCATTTCAGCATTTTTATGGTGTCCTGGACGATGGAAGTGCGATGGCACGGAGCGTTGTCGTGCTGCAACATCACTCGTTCGTGTCTCGTGTCCCATTCTGGTCGTTTTTCGACCAATGCATGGTCTAAATTGATCAGTTGTTGTCGGTAGCGATGCCCGTTGACAGTTTCGCCCGGCTCCTTTTCAGCAGATCATAGTACACGATTCCTTTTTGGTCCCACCAAACGCAGAGCATTGTCTTCTTTCCGAAGCGATTTGGCCGTGCCGTCGATGTTGATGCTTCGCCAGCACAAGTGAAAGCCACAATTTTTTGCGTTTGGGATTCTCGAAATATATACACTTCTTATCGCCAGTAACAATTCGATGCAGGAAACTCTTTCTTTCATGCCGTAAAAGCAAAATTTCGGAAATGGCTCTTCGATTTTCCATCTGTCTCTCAGTCAACTCATGCGGCACCCATTTTCCTTCCTTTTGAAATTTTCTCATGGCTTGTAAACGTTTGGAAATACCTTGGCGAGTCGTGTTTAATGCCTTCGCAAGTTGATCTTGTGTTTGCGTATCATCTTCACCTAGTAACGCTTCCAGATCAGCGTTTTCAATTGTTTTTGGTCTTCCGGAGCGCTCCTTGTTCTCAGTGTCGAAATCGCCACTTCTGGCGTTTAAACCAATTTTCACAGGTAGTTTTCGGTGGTGCATGTTCGCCGTAGGCCTCCTCAAGCAAACGACGTGCTTCAGCTGCACTTTTTTTCAAGTTAAAGCAGAAAAGCAAAGCTTCCCGCAAATGCTGTTTATTTGCCACAAAACTCGACATCTTCGTTGTTAGAAAAAATATTTTTGCGTTGCGATATGTGTTGGTATTACGGCTGGTGTATTACGACTGGTGGATTACGACTGGTGGACTATTGTTAACAGATGTCTAAGCTATAAAAAAAACTTCAGACATGTATGTCGACTATATGTGTCGTTAGCACCATCCATGTCTGAAACTCGGAAACTTAGTTGCGCACCTAGTATTTTAAAACTATACAACACTATTCTACTGTACACTCGCGAGCATAAAGGTTTGTGACCGTTTTTTGCAACTTTCGGAACGCATCCCGACTCGAGAAGAATGAGAGTCACTGCTCCGCCTGTGGAGCATGCCTGCGCAGTGACTCACGACGAAAGGCGAGAAATGAAATATACGCAGTGGGACATATTATAATAATACAGACTCAGATGAAATGAATACTCCAGTATTAAATGGAAATGAGGGAACACAGAACAGACAAGAATCATCCGATGTAAGTCTTATACTCTAGAGGACATCCGAAACAGGTAAAATCCGAACTTAATTAAGAGAATTAAGCTGCATTACGATAGTTACGATTCTGTTATACATTTATATATGATTTATTATTCCAACAATAGCCATCTTCTTTAGCAGAAGCAATGATATTGGATACAGAAGTAGCTGTTATAGCGAATTTTGAATTTTTGGGACATACAGACATGGACATGGAAGAGGAAGAAGGAGATGGAGACGATGAAATTTATGATGCAAATACAGATACCAAACCAAATAAAGTAACGCTTACTATCATTTTGCGTTTTAATGATATTGTTCACGCTATTTGTTAACATAATTTTTTATTTTTCAGGTATCTATCCCCCTTCTAGCGGAAGATGTTGATACAGATGCAGAGGCAGAAGTATTAAATGAATTAAATCTCCTCACAGAAATTGAAGAATCGCCACCTGGTTCTATCCATCTGGAAATGAATTCTTCAAAGGGGTTAGTAAATCCCTTTTTATTCGTGTACTTTAAGATAAAATATAAACCTATTACAATAATAGATATTTTGTAATATTGTCACATATAATCACATAATCTAATGATGCCTATAGGTTTATTTCATAGGAAACCATCTGTGTCGCAAGAAATAATATGTTAAGAATGTCAACAAACTATAACTCTTACATAGCAGAAAAAGCGACTCGATTGAAATACAGGAGAAAATTCTTGGAACTTACATCGTACGATATTTCTGCATCATTGTTAACATATAATTGTTCTAATTCTCCTAATTCCAGCGTGGAGTCACCGCCTTCTTTATTATTTGGGCGTCTTGGATCTAGTTGTAATCCTCTATGAAATAAACCTACAGGCATCATTAGATTATGTGATTATATGTGACAATATTACAAAATATCTATTATTGTAATAGGTTTATATTTTATCTTAAAGTACACGAATAAAAAGGGATTTACTAACCCCTTTGAAGAATTCATTTCCAGATGGATAGAACCAGGTGGCGATTCTTCAATTTCTGTGAGGAGATTTAATTCATTTAATACTTCTGCCTCTGCATCTGTATCAACATCTTCCGCTAGAAGGGGGATAGATGCCTGAAAAATAAAAAATTATGTTAACAAATAGCGTGAACAATATCATTAAAACGCAAAATGATAGTAAGCGTTACTTTATTTGGTTTGGTATCTGTATTTGCATCATAAATTTCATCGTCTCCTTCTTCCTCTTCCATGTCCATGTCTGTATGTCCCAAAAATTCAAAATTCGCTATAACAGCTGCTTTTATATCTAATATCATTGCTTCTGCTATAGAAGATGGCTATTGCTGGAACAATAAATCATATATAAATGTATAACAGAATCGTAACTATCGTAATGCAGCTTAATTCTCTTAATTAAGTTCGGATTTTACCTGTTTCGGATGTCCTCTGGAGTATAAGACTTACATCGGATGATTCTTGTCTGTTCTGTGTTCCCTCATTTCCATTTAATACTGGAGTATTCATTTCATCTGAGTCTGTGTTATTATAATATGTCCCACTGCGTATATTTCATTTCTCGCCTTTCGTCGTGAGTCACTGCGCAGGCGTGCTCCACAGGCGGAGCAGTGACTCTCATTCTTCTCGAGTCGGGATGCGTTCCGAAAGTTGCAAAAAAAACGGTTACAAACCTTTATGCTCGCGAGTGTACAAAAGAAGTGATATATTGGAACAGTAGCGCCAATCGAGAAACCTACCATATATACGAGGGTTTTATATTTCGGGCCTTTTATATTTCGGGAATAGAGAACAAAAAAGGAAATTAATCATCGTACATGGGTTTATTATTTTTCAAAATATTCTCTATGAAGATCAATACACTTTTGCATGCGCTTGAACCAATTTTCGAAGCACTTTTTCCACTCCGATTGAGATACCTCCAAAACATGCATTTTGAACGCATCAACCGCTTCTTCAGGCGTCGAAAAACGTTGACCTCGTAATTTATTTTTGATTTGCGGGAATAAAAAGAAGCATTGGGTGCCAAATCAGGGCTGTACGGCGGATGACCCATCAATTCGACTTTTTCAGTTCTCAAAAAGTCTCTTGTTTGAGCCGATGTGTGAGAGCTCGCATTGTCCTGGTGGAGAATGATGCGTCTTCGGCAGTTGGTTTCCCTTATTTTTCCGAAGACTTCTGACAAACAAATGGTTGTATACTATTCAGAATTGACCGTCCGACATTGCACTAATGGTACAGTTGCTACATGTCAGGTTTTTCCGAAAAAACAGGCGACCATTTGCTTCGAAGTGGTTCGTGCGCGAACAACTTTTGTTGGATTTGGCTCATCTTGAAAGACCCATACAGTCGACTGCTGTTTACTTTCGAGCTCATATGCATAGATCCATGATTCGTCACCTGTTACGATATTATAGACGTATTTTGAAGCACCGCAATCGTATTTCTTGAGCATTTCTTTCGACCAATCGACACGAGCCTTTTTTTGAGCGATTGTTAAATTATGTGGGATCCAACGCGAACAAATTTTTTTGACAGCCAAATGTTCATGCAATATTGAATGTATGCTGGTTCCACTAATGCCCAAGGATGCCTCAATCTCACGATAAGTCACATGACGATCTTGCAATATCAGTTCACGCACAGCATCAATGTTTTCTGGAACAACAACCGATTTTGGACGACCTTCACGAAATTCATCACTAAGCGAACTGCGGCCACAATTGAATTCCGTATACCATCGATATATAGTGGTTTTTGATGGTGCTTCATCGCCAAAAGTCGAATTAAGTTCATCGATGCACTGTTGTTGAGATAATCCACGTCGAAAGTTGTAAAAAATAATCGCACGGAAATGTTCACGACTTAATTCCATTTCTTGGCCGACATCAATTTTTCATGTCACTGTAAACAACACAAATGGCGCATGGACATCAAAACGTTCTGAGTAAGTATTGGGTTGGCAACTAAGTGATTGCGGATTTTGTCGACAGATTTTACGGATTTTACACTTTCTTTTGTTTCGTTAACGTGTTCAAGTACCTAACCTATATTTTTTTCTTATTGTTTGGACTTCTACCTTTCATTTAGTAGAAAAATTATATCGATTAGTTCTTTAGTTTTGTTTTTATCCCGATTTAAAAATGGAAGAGCAAGACGTGCACTTCAGACATATTTTATTGCATTATTTCCGAAAAGGCAAGGACGCATCGCAAGTACACAAGAAGTTGTGCCGTATATGGGAATGAAGCCTTGAAAGAAAGGCAGTGTCAAAATTGGTTTGCCAGATTTCGTTCTGGTGATTTTTCATTGAAAAATGCTCAACGATCTGGCCGTCCAGTTGAAGTCGATGAGACCCATATCAAGGCCATTATCGATTCAGATCGTCATAGCACAACACGTGATATTGCAGAGAAGCTCAATGTATCGCATACATGCATTGAAAAAAATTTTAAAAGTAAATTTAAAATTTTGAATTTTCATTCTTATTTAAAATCCGCAATCACTTAGTTGCCAACCCAATATACTGACAAAAAGTCGAACTTTACGTTAGGGACGTCGGTTGTCAGATGGCAGCACCTGGATCCATTCCCGAAATATAAAAGGCAACCCTCGTACCAGGTCTGTAATGTGTAAATATGAAACCGGAATTTGCCCATAGATGGCCCTAGCTATCAATATAGTTATCGTCAAACCGTGTCATTGGCGCAATTTCCATTTGTTGACATCTGACAAATATTTTCAACTCAAGGTCTTAAAAGGATAGCAACAAATGATCGATTTGAATCAAGCTTTGCGTGAAAAACGACCAGAATATCAAAAAAGGCAATATAAAGTGATTTTGCTTCATGATAATGCATCATCACACACAGCAAAACTGGTCAAGGAAACGATTGAGGCGTTTAGTTGGGAAATACTTTCGCACGCGGCTTACTCACCAGACTTGGCTCCGTCCGACTACTTATTTGCATCGACAGGACACGTACTTGCTGAGCAGCGCTTCACTTCTTACGAAAATGTACGAAAATGGCTCGACTGGTTTGCCTCAAAAGAGCAACAGTTTTTTTGACGTGGCACAAATTGTCAGACAGGTGGGAAAAATGTATAGCTAGCGATGGGCAATATTTCGAATAAAATATTTTTTATCATTTTCATACAATAAACGTGTATTTTCTATACAAAAATTCCGGTTTCATATTTACATACCTGGTATATGATTATTGTATACTTAATATTTTTAGAAATCTCAAATTCAAATTATTTTCTTTCTTAAGATATATATTATGTACATAACATAAGTTTTTACAAGTAAAACTTATCAAGTTATTTTTCTTTTAAGATATATATGTACATAAGCTTTTACAAGTAAAAATTATATCGTGTTGTAAAAATTTAACATATTTATTAATAATAACCAATATGTATGTTACGTATTATCTTTAGACATTCCCTCTCTCACTCTTCCCCTTCACTCTCTGATCTCACTCTCTGATCTCGCTCTCTCTCTCTCTCTCTCTCTCTCTCTCTCTCTCTCTCTCTCTCTCTCTCTCTCTCTCTCTCTCTCTCTCTCTCATTTCTCTCTCTCTCTTTCCCTCTCCCTCTCTCTCTCTCTCTTTCTCTCTCTCTCTCTCTCCTCATCTTTCCTTCTCTTTCTCTCTCTCGCTTTCACTCCTTTCTCTGTGTCACTCTTCTTTCTGTGTCACTCCTCTCTCTCTCTCCCCTCCCCCTCCCTCCCTCTCCTTCTCCCTCTCCCTCTCTTTCTCTCCCTCTCTCTCCCCCTCTTTCTCACTCCTCTCTCTCTCATCCCCCCCCTCTCTCTCTCTTGCATATTTTTTCCTATACTGTATTCTAGCATATCTCTCGCTTACTCGCTCGCATTTGCTATTGTCTGCATCTTCAGCGCTGCCGTAGCGTCCCTGGTGTCGAAAAAGCGAGATGCATACATATTCTTACTTCTGTACGTCCGAAGCTTCTTACTTTTTTACTGAATCGAAATTTTCCGTGACTTTATGTTAAAATACTTCCACTTAAAGACAATGTACACAAAAATCACAAGAATATTTTGCTTCCTATTTTTTAAGGCCGATTCAATTGGGACTAAAAAACCTCGATCGGTTCAGCCATTGCTGAGATATGAATATCTCACTTCGTTTGAACTCACAGTTTCGCGTAATATAGGCACGGTATGCCTTTTGATCGTCGTTAACAATTATATAATATGCAACTGTGAGAATTTGTATTTTATGATCCTGTTTATCGATCGGTAATATTTTTTTCAGGATTAATCAACACATTCGTTCACTCGATAATGTACACACACTATCTGCTGTCATCCATGAAAATAGATACGAAATCATGGAAGAAGCACATCACTCAGCTACAAATGCTGCAATTCTTTATATTGGCGTATCATATCTCCCAATTACTGTGGACGGATTGTGGTTTCCCACGATGGTCAGTGTTACTGTTGCTGCCGCAATATATTTTCATGCTCGTATTATTTGCGGAATTTTACTACAATGCATACATTAAAAAGAAGCCGGCGAGTGCAGCAGTGATAACGAACATGGAGACATACAGCATCCCCGCGGAAATCTCGAATGGCAAATTGAAAGAGCGATAAATTCGCGTGGTGAATTATTATCCGTAAAAATTGTTTCTGCTATTATTTTCCACTCTTAATATATCGGTGTCAAAGAGTTGAACGTTAGTCTTTTATTACTTGTGAACTTGCCACGAAATTATCGCATTTTACGATAGTTTCCCTTACAATATACAATGTACGTCTGTCATTTGATAAATCCTGAGCCTAATAATGAAGCACTTATATTTTTGTACAAAATGGGTTTTATTTTTCACTGTAATGTCCTTTGATCTTGATAAATATTGTCGACCTCTTTTCTAATCCTCTCATTCTGTCAGTGAAGTAGGTCAAGTCCTGCAAAATACTCGTTTACAATTGCAATCACTTCCCCATTGGTTGCGAATTTTTTTCCTCTGGACCATTTCTTCATGTTCTAGAATAAAAAAGTCGCAAAGGTTGGATCACGTGAACACAAGGGGAGGAGTAAGTCATAACGTAATTCAAAGCATTCAAAGCAAATTCTTAAATAATAAAGCATTTTGGCCATAAAGATTGCAGATGTGTGGACTGATATGTTGTCCGGAAGAAAAAACACCTTTTTTTTTTTCAAATCACTTTTTGCGATCTCTTCCTTTAAATGTTCTGATAATGATGCATTATATACATCAGTGATAGTTGTTCCTTTATGAAGATAATCTATAAGAAATATGTTATAGATATCTCGAAAAAACAGATCTATACCCAGTGTTACGTCTTGGAGGAGGAGCGCAACGTGTACTCGCGCTTGCGATGTAGATCAAGGGCCAGAGGGGTCCATTTATTCCGATCACGACATACGGCGGGTGGTCCACTTTTAGGTCAGAGAACTAAATCTCTTTACCTGGGACTGGACCGTGAGTTGATAGTTAGAATCGGGGATACATTGGAAAAGGGGTGAACGTGATTCAAATTATAAAATAAAATTAACCCCTTGCCTGTGGATGACATGTATAACCGCATGAAAAAGTCGTGCCACCAGTGTGGATGACGTGTATACATGCATCGAAGAAAAAAAATAGTAAAACTATTGTTTTTTGCATACAGGTGGGTATCTATATGTTTTTGGAGTCGCTGAATCAGAATTTGATATCAAAATTTCGAAATTCAAAACGGCGGATCCAACATGGCGAGTCAAAATTATAAAAATAATCGGATTTTTATGAAAGTGGGTATCTATATGTTTTTAGGGTCGCTGAATCCGAACTTAATATCAAAATTTCGAAATTCAAAATGGCGGATCCATCATGGCGAGTCAAAATTATGAAAATAATCAGATTTTAATGAAAGTCAATATTTATATGTTTTTGGGGTCGCTGAATTTGAATTTGATATCAAAATTTCGAAATTCAAAATGACGGATCCAAATTTTGAAAATCAGATTTTCATGATTTTTATAATTCTTTTTTTGCTTTTGCGGCATGAAAGAAAGAGTTTCCTGCATCGAATTGTTACTGGCAATGGGAAGTGGATATATTTCGAGAATTTCAAACGCAAAAAATCGTGGCTTTCTCCTGGCGAAGCATCAACATCAACGGCACGGCCAAATCACTTCGGAAAGAAGACAATGCTTTGCGTTTGGTGGGACCAGAAAGGAATCATGTATTATGAGCTGCTGAAAAGAAGCTGTCAATGAGCATAGTTACCGACAACAACTGATCAATTTGAACGAGGCATTGCTCGAAAAACGACCAGAATGGGACACGAGAAACGAACGAGCACGACAACGCTCTGTGCCATCGCACTTAATTCGTTCAAGACACCATCAAAACGCTGAAATGGAATCTGCTACCGCACACGCTGTATTCATCAGACCTGGCCCCTTCCGATTATCATTTGTTCCGGTCGATGGCGCATGGCTTGGCTGGACAACACTTGGCCAATTTCGAAGAAGTGCAAAATTGGTTGGATGAATCGTTTTGGTCCAAAGACGCGTCGTTTTATCGTCGCGGTATTCGTGTATTGCCAGAGAGATGGCAAAAATGTATAGCTATCGAGGGACGATACTTTGAATAAACCATTTTTTGTATTTCTCTTGAAATTTTCCATGTTTCATTGATCAAAAAAACCCGGAAACTTAGTTGTGCACCTAGTAGGTCACTATTGTACTGTAGTGTCTATGTGGCAGCATCATCTCTAGTCTCATAACTCGGAAAGTACTCAATAAAAAGATACTTTATCATAGCGTTTTGGAAAGGTCTTGAAGTCAACTATAAGAATATGATATGAAAGATAGAGGGTTCTATTTGAGAAAATTAGGTTGACCATCCTCTGACCTTAAGTAGATGTCCCAAGGTCAAAGCAAAGTCACTATTGTACGTCCCCCTCAACATCATACAACGTTTATTTAAAAAGGTTTTTTTGTAAAATTACATATTTTCGAAATATTTGCCTGTTAATATTAAAAATACTCACCCTGTATATGTATAGCCACATTTAAACTCTGCAATCCAAACTTTCACCATTGGAACAAAGGAGTAGAGTTACCGTAAACAGAATCCGACTCGGTTTTGATTTTATTTGTGGTTTTCCCTTTTAGATTTAAGTGTTTAATTACGGAACGATATTTGATTTTCTTCCGTCGTTGAACAAATACACTGATCCTCGTACTACAACTGACTGCCAAAACACAACTAGGTATATGGCTGAACATTTCGGAGCGGTTATTAAAAAACGTAGCTTTCATATCTTGCAACAGTTTCCACTCAGTAACGTCATATTCATGTTCAGGCTCGAAACTTATCAAACAACTCACGTACATATGGAAAATCACAAAATGTGAAAAATATTTACATTCTCTGCTATAGAATGTGCGCTTCTTGATTGAGATAATTGTCCTTTTCGTTCCTTGTCTTTCACCTCTTGAGTGTACTTGTAATATTATATATGTTTGTTGGTAATTTTGCAATACATCATGTCAAAATAATTAGTCAATTTTTTCCTTATAATAGCTATAGGTTCCGAAATGTACATAAGAAAGTCACTAAATATAGAAAATATTTATTACGTTGACACCATATAGAATGTAGCATACTTCTTGATTGAAGCAAAATTGCTTTTTTCCCTCTTTTTCTAGTTCTTTTTATTTAAAAATATTTGATCAAAATGTATTCATCGAATCAACTCAATGTCACTATTTTCTAAGATAAGAAACTATATTGAAATCCTCCAATAGACTTGCTAATTTAATCGATAGAAAACGTAGCGTGCTTTCGTATAGGTATAATAATTGATTATTCGACATTTCTTCACCGTCATGGACGGGTTAAGTAAATCCAATAGGTCAATATTACGCGGAAGGCAACATCTATGCAACAATTTTTGTGGGATGTATTTGTGTATGTACGTAACGTACTTCTCATTACAATACAATTAAAATAGAAATGGAAATTTGATTAGAGGAAGCTTGCTCGGCAGTTGCTTGGAGAATTTCGATGTGACTGGTTGTGACGTGTCGAAGTAAAAAAAGAAAATCGATACTTCAACACCAACGAACGAAAAACATGATTTAAAATAACTGTTTCGGGAAACGATTAGGGGAATAGATGCTTAGCTCAAAGAAGAAATAAAAAAGATAACGAAAAAGCGAGAAAAGTGAAGTAAAAGAGACAGAGAGAAGACAAGTTTCATCAAAATTATCCACCGACATCGAAACGAAAGAGTTAAGAGACGTACGGATTTTATAACAAAAAAATTGTAAACGATATACGATTTTCATTATGGCTGCAGTTCTAAACGAAGTGGTCAAAGAATATTTGGTTCTAAACGACCATTTAGCAGGTTGGTGTTTCACATTGTATTATGTTACCTTTAGGCCACTTTTTTACTTTTTTACTTTACGTACTTTGGCCACTGGATCTCATCGTTCCTAGTTTGATGAAAAGCTAATATTGATAGACTTACGCATATAATAAAAAAAAAAGTTTTTCGTCTTCATTCATGATCCATTGTATTGTTCGCCGCAAAGAGTCGTAACGTGTATTATTAAAAAATAATGAATCGTCTGCTATCAAAAACGTTTAAAACTTTTGAAAAAAAAAACGCACTACGAGGAAGAGAAATTCGCGGCCGTTAAAATTAAAGGACCATATTTAAAGTATCTTGTTATTTTATATCAAAATATTGATAAACGCATCGTGTTTGCTTCCTCACACGAAGCTATAGATGAGTGCTGATTTTAATTAAATGAAATCAAAATGGACAGTATCTTTGATCACTGATGACGTAATACATGTATACAGGTAAAATACATCAAACTGAACAAGATCTCTGAGGAGAATTATCTGTATAAAAGATTCCGCAATAGTTTTAAGAAATTAATTAAAGGATGTCGATAGTTGTGTAGTGTCAACGAATTCCTTAAAGTCATTGCGAAACTTACAAAACAGTAGCGGACTTTAGTCTACTGTCTGGTTTAACACACTTTTACACGAACGTTGTCTTATTAATTGCCAGACACCTATGTAGACGTAACATATACCTTCAATTAGAAATAATTTAATTAGGCAAGGGAATATTAAAGTTTGGTGCAAAGGGAACTAAAAACATATCGCATCATTTAATCTGTCACGTCACATTATCCGATATTACAGATTTTGAGGGAACGTAGGGAGTTCTTTCATAAGTATTATTTCAATTCGTTACATTTGATATGTTACGCAATACACAAACGTGAATTGGCGCAATGAAAAAGTAAAAAAAAGTAATCCGAATTTTGACATTTGAAAAATTTTCAAAGTGTTTATGCTCTATTCTCACCGATAATCTCAACATATTCTCGTAACAAACTTTGCCTAGATTTTCACATAAATGTGTGTGTGTATGTGTGTGTGCGTACAGTGTATTTGGTAAGAATGTGTCCGGCAGAACAAAATACATAAACATTGCCTGATTAGAACTATGATGTTTCATTGTTAGTAACATGTCTAAGTGTTTTCATTATCAATAATTGTTTAGCATTTCCGAGGCATACTTTCAATTAATTTTATGGCATATTCTTGATCTTCTGATCAATTTAATTTATCAAACTCCTTGAACTTCCACATCTTCTTTCCCTTAAGTTTCACCTAACGTTTTCAGTGAGATTTGCATTCGGTGACTATGACAGCCAATTCAGTAATTCACCGTTATTTTTTTGTTTCCATATGATACAAAGACTTTGATGTTTAGGATCACTGTCCTCTTGTAATATTCATTTTTCGTTTTTCTTGTAATAAATTACTTTTGGGCAAATGATACGAAAGCCTTCTCATAAATTTTGATAACTTTGCTATAATATAAATTGTCTGTGAAGAAATGCAAAGTGCCAAATCCTGGCTTCGAGAAGCAGCGCCAAGCGTGTACTTTTATCGGATATTTAACGATCCGCTGAATGAGCCTATTGCTGAGAATATACCAGATTCGAGTGATAGAAGTATCTGCCCACACACATAGCAGAGAAGGTTTGGAGTCATATAAATACTACGGGAGTGACGAACTGTGGGGTTCTTATCTTTGTTGTGACATACACGCACACAAAGAGGTGTAAATCCGGCCGTGCAACCTCCATGCGGTACACCTTGGATAATGCCAATGCTCTAACTTCCAGATCTTATAACTCAGAAAGTATCTAATCGAAAAATACTTTATTACAATGCTTCGCGAAACTTTCGAAATAATCTATATACAAGAATATGTAATGAAAAATGGGGGGTTTCGTTTAAAAAATTGGAGGTGACCTTAAAGTTTACTTTGAGAACGCTATTCAAAGTCATACTAATGCTATTAACTGATGCGTCACTTAAAACCCTATAACTTTTATTTAGACTATTTTTCTTTAAAATGTCGCGTTTACGAAAAAATCGGGTAACCCGGGTAGTCTGAAACACCCTATATATGTATGTGTGCGTGTAAGTGCGTGCGTGCGTGCGTGCGGGTGTGTGTGTGTGTGTGTGTGTGTGTGTGTGTGTGTGTGTGTGTGTGTGTGTGTGTGTGTGAAAAGAAAAAAGAGCATCTTTCTCCAATACTTCTTTTCCATTTAAAAAGTAGTCCCGTTTCAACACTTTATTTAACAAGTCAAATAACTTGCCAAACGTTTTTCCTATGTTTTTCCAGGGAGGTCCTTGGTGTATTTTTGATTTGTATTTATGTGTAGAAAATGTATGGAGTAGATTTTATCCATTTTCCCGAGGAGTAAAAAATCGGCATTTTTTAACATTATCCTTTTGCGTCTAATGATTTTCATGTAAAAGTTTTATCCGTTACGCTTTTATTAAACAAACTGTATGTACATGCATAATTATAAAAAGCACTTGAAATCATGTCGAAATTTTTTGGCTGATATTTTATTAGTTATCTTTTTCTATTTCAAGATCCACGTACCAAAGATTTTTTTCTGATTGACACACTATGGCGGGTCCCACTTTTAATTATATTCTACATGTATAGTATATATGTTCTTCTGCCGAAGTTTATGAAAAAAAGGGAACCCTACAAGTTGAACAGAATATTACAGATATATAATGTCTTACAAATTATATTTAACATGTACTTATTTTATATGGTAAGCTTAGTTGTATATTTAAGTACTCTTAAACTTTCGATTTCTCACTAAAGTAAAGATGAAAAAAGGACATTCTACTTAATCATTAAATTATTCGATGTTACAAAAGATATAAAAAATTCAATATTTAAAGAGTCATAACTTTGATAATGTTGAAAATTTCGTAAACTTTCTAGTGCGCTTAAATAAAAGAATGCTTCTAGATGTAATATTTAATATTGTATCTGAATTATTCTAAATTGACCATTTTGTTATATGAATAAAGCAAGCAAAATATCGCTGATCTACAAAGGTCTAAAAAGATTTACGGACGTTTTATATTTATACAGACATTAAATCTGGTCTGGTTAAAAGAATACAGCCTTAATTGCGAACCTGTCGATTACTCGTACAAACCAAAAGCAATAGCGGTAATTATAAAAACTTAATTAATTAATTACATACATACAGAAATTAACAGGATATGTCGTCTCACCTCATCTCTTACTTTACCTTCCTCTCTTTCTCTTCTGCTGTTCTTGCATCGATGATAACTCTGCAAAATTTGCACTTATATTTTATAAATAAGACGATATTTAGTGTCTTATAAAGTTATATCATAGCTATGAGATACCTTCACTTTTTTGCGCTTCGTATCAATATAAAAAAAGAAGAAAAGTCACTGAATAACAAAACAATACATAAGTTATCCATTTACCAGATATCCAGAGTGGTGTGGTATTACTTCATGTTGAAGGTCACAGATCTTCTGGAAACGTTCTTCTTTGTACTTAGAAAGAAACTAAGTCAAGTCAACTTCCTTCACGTATATCATCACTGTGGCATGGTAATACTAGCATGGGTTGGCACTAAATATTATCCCGGTGGTCACTGTACATTTATAGGTACGTATAATCGCAATGATAAAATGGGTGATCACCGAATGTTAAGATCTTTATATTAATAAACTGGAGAAGCAAGTGGTGCGTCATGATCAACTAGCTCTTCGACTAATATATGTGACGGTTTCTAAAATCCTTCTCCGAAATTTTGTTTCTATAGATCGAGTTAAGTCGTAGGCAAGGTTGCCAAATGTCTCCTTTATTCTGTAAAATTATTTGTATATGAAGCATTTTACGGCGATATCAATCCAACATTCTCATATATTTTATCATCGTTATTAACAACGATTATATAACATGCAACCGTGGAAATTTGCATCTCATCATGTTTCTTGATCGATTGCTGATATTTTCTTTCAGGAGTAATCAACACACTCGTTCACTCAACAATGTACACGCACTATCTGTTGTCAACCATGAAAATAGACACGAAATCGTGGAAGAAACACATCACTCAGCTGCAAATACTGCAATTTGTTATAATAGCCTATCACACTTCCCAATTACTGTGGACGGATTGCGGTTACCCGCGATGGATAGCGCTGGTGTTGCTGCCGCAACAAGTTTTCATGATCGTATTATTTGCGGAATTTTATTACAACGCGTACAGTAAGAAGAAACCGGCGAGTGCAGCAGCAACTATGAAAATGAAGACGGACGGCATCCCCACGTACATCTCGAATGGCAAATTGAAAGAGCAATAAGTTCGCGTGGGGTATTATCCCCTCGATTTGTCTCTGCTATTATTTTTCTATTGTTAATGTACTGATATCAAAAATTTAAAAGTTAGTCGATCAATACACAATGTACGTCAGTTGTTTAATAAATCTCGAGCCTAACAGTGAAGAACTTATATTTTTGGACAAAATCAGTTTTATTTGTCACTGTAGTTTCCTTTTATCTTGTTAAGTTTTGTCAATCTCTTTTTGAGTTCTCTCATTATGTTAGCGAAGTGGATTAGGTTAAGCCCTGCAAAATATTCGTTTACGGTTGCAATCATTTCTTCATTGACCGCGAATTTTTTTCCTCAAAACAATTTTTTCATTTGGAAATAAAAAACATCGTAGGAGCTAGATCAGGTGAATAGGGAAAGAGGGGGAGGGCAGTATGTGGTGTAATTAAATTAAATAGTCCCCATAATTTTTCCGAACAAATGAAACATTTTCGCCTTCTTTGAAACAATTTTGCCTGATGAAATTAATTGTTTTAACTACTTGCTTGCAGGTAGTGGTAAATCCATGTTTCGTTAACAGTCAAACGAATTGACTCAAGGAATTCTTTGCATTCCGTTTGAACCAGTTCAAACACTCTTTTGCAATGCTTTGTCGAATGCGTTTTTGGTCCAACCAACGTCAGGAAATACGGTAGCCGTCGCACAGTGAGATTTCTCATCCAAATTTTAACATAAATTTTCACATAATATTTTGGACATATATTCAGAAGATGTGCTTGCGGCATTTATTATCTATCTGACCTTCATCTCTGTCTTCGATCATCCAGCACGATATGATATATATTGTCGGTTATGTCTGAAAATATTGCAGTTTTTGGCAGATCTGGGTACTCATCATTAAACATATTTGTATAGTCACGCTTAAACTCGGCAATTCAAACTTTCACCATTGAAAACAAAGAAGGAGGGTCACCGTAAACGGAATCCAACTTATGTAGGCAGTCTGAAAAGTTCTCGACCTGACACATACATGGCATTAGAAACTGTCAAACTATAATTGTATTGGAAAGTGGCATCCCTGATATAAACTCATGTAAAATTTTATTCGATTTGTTAAATCATTCGAGTAGTAGCACTAGTTGAAAAAAAGTTTGTGCAAGATGGGTGCCGCATTTGCTAACAATTGACTAAAAACGCATTCGAATGCATATTTCTCAAGCGTGTTTGGATCGTTTTCAGCAAAATAAAATGGATTTCAAGCGTCATTTCATAACTGTTGATGAAACTTGGAACCACCACTATACACCAGAGCGAAAAGAATCTTCCGGAATCACACTTTAATGATGGTATTGAATTATTGGAAAAAACGTTGGAATAAATGTATTAAAATGCATTTCAGAAGATTATTTAGAAGATTGAAAAATAAAACATATTTCACGGCAAAAAAAATTTCTTTCATTGTTAGACCGAGAACTTTTCAGACTACTTTCGTATTTTTTGATTTCTCTTGTAGTTTTCCCTTTTACATTCAAGTGTTTAATTACAGTACGATATTTGATTCTTTTTTATGGTTAAACAAATATATGCGTGTATACTGACACGCGTACCATAACGAACTGCCAAAATACAACTAAACATACTACTGAACATTTTGGAGCAGTTATTAAAAAGACTTAGCTTTCATATCTCACAACAGTTTCCGCCCAGTAGCGTCATCTTCATGTTCAGAGTCGAAACTTATCAAACAACGTACCTATGTATGGAAAATCACGAAATGTGGATAATATTTATTATATTGGCTGCTGTATAGAATGTGCTTCTTGACTGGACCAATTGTACTTTTTGCTCCTTGTTTTTCACTTCTTCAAATAATATACCTGTGTTTGTTGGTATAATATTGCAATACATTATGCCAAAGTAATTAATCAATCTTTACTCTGTATTAGCTATACGTTCCGAAACGTACATATGGAAACTCATTAAATGTGGAAAACATTACATTAACCGCTATACAGAATGTATGTTTGTTTCTTGATTGAGACAATTACCTTATTCTACCTTTTTCCTCATTTTGTTCCAGAGAACTTTATTGAAGTAGCATAACGTCGTCATTTTCTGCGACAAGAAAGTTTAATAGTTTAAGAATTCCAACGCAGAAAACATTTTGATGGAATTCTTGAATTACTAAGTGCGCAACTAAGTTTCCGGGTATTTTTGATCAATGAAACATGGAAAATTTCAAGAGAAATACAAAAATGGTTTATTCAAAGTATCGTCCCTCGATAGCTACACATTTTTGCCATCTCTCTGGCAATACATGAATACCGCGACGATAAAACGACGCGTCTTTGGATCGAAACCATTCATCCAACCAATTTTGCACTTTTTCGAAATTGGCCAAGTGTTGCCCAGCTAAGCCATGCGCCATCGACCGGAACAAGTGATAATCGGAAGGGGCCAGGTCTGGCGAATACGGCGGGTGCGGTAGCACTTCAGTCCCATTTCAGCGTTTTGATGCAAGGCCGCTTTTCGAGCAATGCATGGTTCAAATTGATCAGTTGTTGTCGGTAGCGATGTCCATTGACAGATTCGCCCGGCTTCTTTTCAGCAGTTCATAGTATACGATTCCTCTCTGGTCGCACGCTCAAACGCAGAGCATTGTCTTCTTTCTGAAGCGATTTGGCCGTGCCGTCGATGTTGATGCTTCGCCAGGTGAAAGCTACGATTTTTTACGTTTGGGATTCTCGAAATATATCCACTTCTCATCGCCAGTAACAATTCGATGCAGGAAACTCTTTCTTTCCGCAAAAGCAAGATTTCGGAAGTGGCTCTTCGATTTTCCATCTGTCTCTCAGTCAACTCATGCGGCACCCTTCCTTTTGAAATTTTCTCATGGCTTGTAAACGTTTGGAAATACCTTGGCGAGTCGTGTTTAATGCCTTCGCAACTTGATCTTGTGTTTGCGTATCATCTTCACCTAGTAACGCTTCCAGATCAGCGTTTTCAATTGTTTTTGGTCTTCCGGAGCTCTCCTTGTCCTCAGTGTCGAAATCGCCACTTCTGAAGCGTTTAAATCAATCTTCACAGGTAGTTTTCGGTGGTGCATGTTCGCCGTAAGCCTCCTCAAGCAAACGACGTGCTTTAGCTGCAATTTTTTTCAAGTTAAAGCAGAAAAGCAAAGTTTCCCGCAAATGCTGTTTATTTGCCACAAAACTCGACATTTTCGTTGTTAGAAAAAATATTTTTGCGTTGCGATATGTGTTGGTATTACGACTGGTTATTGTTAACAGATATAGTTCCAAGCTATAAAAAAACACAACTTCAGACATGTATGTCGACTACATGTGTCGTTAGCGCCATCTATGTGTGAAACCCGGAAACTTAGTTGCGCACCTAATATTGAACTTACAAAGTTCATCGATAAAATACGTGACAAGCGTTCATATACAGTCTGTAAAGTAAGAGCGTGTACGGCATAAATGACAGTTGGCTTCAAATATCGTCTTAGTTTTTTTTTAGCCATATTGTGAGGCATATCTCAAGCACAAGCTTCGAAGAAAAAGAGTGTGTACTTTGAAGCAGTTGACACGACAAATTCGTCTCATTTGGAGATCTTTACCGAACGAATACGCAGTCAACTTAGTGGAAAGTATGCCTCGGAGATGCCAGGCAATTATCAATGCCGGTGGTGACTGGACTCATTATTTATTAATGGTATAGCATTTTTCTTTTCATGGAGTACAACAAATCCATGTACTTAAAAATCATTAAAAATAAATTTTTCTACACATTAACCCGTACACGCTCTTACTTTACAGACTGTAGGTACAATATCTATTGAATATTCGATATTCTTCCACCATCATGGACTGGCTAAGTTATCCAAGAGGTCAACATTCCTCGAAAGACAGTGTCTATATGACAATTTTCTTGGTTTGTGTTAGTATATGTATATACAGAGTTTCTATTCGGATTGTGCTGAAAGTAAGTGGTTATTACTTTGCAATAAGTAAGCCGAGAAAGTTGAGTCAAACGCTATTTTATACGATATGGGGACGCACTACCTTTCGTAAAATAGAATCCTTTTTATCAGTCTTCATTTTTTTGCATAAGGAAAGAATTTAATCTCCAATAATTCTTTGTAACTTTCAAAGATAATGATTCCTTTGCATGTAAACCCCTTTTACTGAAATTGCAGCCTACGTGGAAACTTTTCGGGGGCGAAGAGGAACGACAATTGATCCATTCTGATTTTCTTCTTCCTACAACTGATAATTTTGCTTGTTGACACAACCGTTCAACCAAAAATGAGCAACATCTAAAAATAATTTCTTTTTCATTAAGTTCCTCATTTTTTAATATGCCGGTTCGCCGCATCGCCTCGCAAAATTGAATTTGTTTTTCGATCGCTTTCTTTGTCACTAACTGATGTGTTGCGATTTTATAGGGACGCAATTTAATGACGTCTTTTATGAAAGATGTCTTTCTAAGAGTTTCTCGTTTCAAATCTATAATCTGAGCAACTTTTCGAATCGAGGGATTTAGATTTTCTTCGAAATTTGGCATCATTAATTGTTTTGTCCATTGGACGGATGGATCGGATAAATTATATATGCCATCATTTTGGCGATCATACATAATAAATCTGGTGAATATGTTGCATGGGGTAGCAGTTCGTAGCCCAATTTATGGATTTTTGCCATGGTGACTACACACGTGTGCACCCGTGCATTGTCCTGATGGAACAGCACTTTTTTCTTCGCCAAATGCGGTCGTTTTTGCTTCAAATCAATATCGAATCTGTCCAAAAGCTCTGAATAATATTCGCCGGTGATCGTTTTACCCTTTTCAAGGTAATCGATGTGAATGATACCGCGTGCATCCCAAAAAACTGTGGCCATGACCTTGTTGGCCGACAGACCCACCTTGGCCTTCTTTGGTGCACGTTCACTCGAAGAAACCCACTGTCTTGATTGTTCCTTGGTCTCTGGTGTGGTGTGATGGATCCATGTTTCGTCTAAGGTAACGAAACGGCGCAAAAACTCGTTCGGATTGCGGCTGAACATCGCCAAACACTCCTTTGAAATGGTCACACGGTTGCGCTTATGGTCGAGTGTGAGCAATCGCAGCACCCATCGCGCGGATAGCTTTTTCATGTCCAAATATTCATGTAAAATGTGATGTACCCGCTCAGTT